TACATTAATGACCATCGGGGGTGCGCCTGGTACTACTCCGGGTACGCCTGGTACTACTCCGGGTACGGCTGTTACGACGGAAACGGCTGTTGTAGTAACTCCGGGAGGTAATGTCCCTGATACTGTCGTTGTTGTTCCTGCCATTACTGGTGGTGGCGTTATTATTACTAAATTTAACATATTTCGTTTTATGCATAAAGAGTATGAGCTCTTGATGAGGAAATTTGAAATTTTTTTCGAAAGGTGTTGGTCGAAGCAGAATAAAATCAATGTTTTTATTGTAACAAGTACTATTATGAGAACTTTGTGTCACAATTGGTTGTAAACGACATGAATTTATTCTCATCTACATGACTCCAGAATGAAGCGAATTTCATATGTGGCCGTATACAGTTTAAGCCATACGATATATGTGGGTGTGCGAATTGCAGTTTTTCTACCACCTCATCAGTCGTAAGTTCTATTTCGTTCAAAAAAAAACATTTTCGATACATGCCGAGAATTTCCCATTGCGCTATATCAACTTTTTACTCTACTATTTTAAAAAGGTGCATTTAACGTTTTGTTAAAGCCACATATGTCAGGAATTAATAGTGCTAACGATATAAACGAGATTTTTACGCTAGAAGAGCAAAAATTCACAATAATGATATCGATCGAAATTCTTATGAGTAACTGCGAAGTTTTAAGAGGAATAAACTTTTTCTTCTGACTTAAGGAGAAAAGAAACATACCTTTCCCAACAAAAGATTACTGTTTGGTTGTTAAAAGCTCGTTTTTCCCTAAGTCTTTTCAAGACCTTGGTTTCCATAGAGCCAACTTGGATTTATCGAATCTCAAATCTTTTGACGATTACAGAAGAAGTGCATAAATTCTCGTTTTGTGTTACATTAAGAACCGCTGTTCTAGAACAAAACCTTACGGTCTATCATAACTGTCCTAGCATACCAGAACATCTTCAGATTAGCTTTTAACGTTGTTGGAACTATGTTGGAGCTACTGTCAACACCGTCCATCCTAGCGCAGAAGCTAATTGAAATTTCCATGGTAGTTCTTGAGGAGCCATAATGATGACTGCGTACTGGCAATCTCACAAGAAATTTGGCCAATTTAATAGGTTGATCAGGTTGTTACCTAGTTATACTAACTACCCACCAAACGGAGTACATATACACGGCGTGTGCTCTCCTTCTAGTGCTAGGTCAGCAATGACTCAAAAAACTTAGCGCTTCCCCTTTTAGGCACGCATTTTAAAGGCCTGTTTTTCACTCATAAAGCGTCAACTGTCCAGACCAGTAGCGATTAGAGAGCAACCCCTAACATAACCGGCATTCAACTTGTAAAGCATTTGTGTTTCCTAGTTTATTTTCCCAAGCTTTTTTTGGAGAAACAACGCAATGAGATGTTGTCGAAAATTGTCTCTTCTTTTTAATTTTCTTCTAATCTTCAGTCACTTTCTCTAGCTACTGACGTTTACAAGCGTTTGACTTAGAATCAGCGGTAGCAAAGATGTAGCTTGATCTCCTTGTCTCTACAACAAGTGTGCAATGAATGAAAATGGTCCGTGACAAACAAAGAGAGACTCTGAATTTTGTGGTCTACGATAGAAGGATTCAGTCACCAAGTATAGTGTAAGCGGCTCTAAATCCAAGCCGCTATATAAGTTATGCTTGTATTGTTGAGGTATGGCATTATATCTTTAGAGGCGCATTAACTTACAGACTTTCACCATATCACTTTACATTGTGAGTTAGCAAAGTAGTATAAGAGAAGTAGGAAAAATTGACGGAATTTCAATCAATCTAATCTATTATTATCACAAATATCATTACTTATAATAAAGCGCTAATGTGTCTGTATGTGTGTGTGTGTGTGTGTGT